AGTTTAGACGAACTTAAACTCCCTGTTAGCAAATAATCTTAGTTAACTTAACGACGAACCGTTTAAGCTAACAACGTGATCCTTCGAAGATACTTATCGATCCCATTAAATGGTCGTGATTCTTGGAAGAAAGAATTCATTTCATCGATTCCGTCGTGATCCTTCGAAGTTACTTATCGATCCTATCAAGTGGTCGTGATTTTTGGAAGAGAATCATCCATTCTTATCGATCCCATTGCAAATGGTCGTGATTCTTGAAAGAACTTTCGCTTTATCGATCCCGTCTTGAACCTTGGTGAAGTTGAATTGTCCTTACAATAAAACCCTGTAGCATGAAAGTATTCCATTAAATATTTGTAATTTAATTTTTTTTAAAAAAAAAGCATTTTCTAAAAAATTTCTTCTTTGACAAATGTGTAATAACAATGATTTAGGATCATTCTATTATGATTGCGTAATGAGGAATCCACCATAAAAGACTAGGAAATACTATTCTCGAGAACTGAAGAGAAACAGTCAAGAATAGAACAGAACTGATTCTCAGAAGCTACATTTATCCTGCCAAAATAGTGCGATGTTGACATGATAAACATGGGGAAACTCAGATTTTTGAATTGCTTTATTGCCAAGATCGTTACTGTACATACCGGAGGTAGCGAGGCTAAAAATGCTAATTCTGATATAGCAAAATGACTAAAAGCAAAACTGTTATTAGCCAGAGATGCTTGCATTATATTAACAGCAAATATTTAGATGAAAGCCGGTCTAGTTAACAGCTCAATGAGATCATTCGAGACATTATTTTTGTATGAGTAAGGACTATCTTATCTTTCATCAACAGTATTTATCGCATTTGATAAATATGAAGGCCTTACTATTAACGTGACGGTATAAAAGTTGTACTAATAGTACCGATCTGATGTACCTGAAAAAGTAAAAGTGGTAAGTCATGTTCACGTTTGCAAATACCAATTTTCTAGTCTGGGCTATAATGGTATATAAAAGTCAGAGCCTTACGTTAGAAAAAGTAAGAATAGATTTTGGAAATAAAGAATATACTGCCAGTCTTTCTTTTGTAGCAGTATCTAGGATTCGCAATCTTGTAGATATTCTATTCAAACCTTTTACTTCAAAAGACTTCAACACATAAAAAAATGTAAAAGATTGCATAAAAGAAAGGTTAAGGAAGACCAGTTAATTTCATTGTCTTATAAAAAATAGTTAGCATTTGTTGGTTTATTTTTTTGTTTATGCTAATTGTTAATAAAGTATATCGTTTTGGTTTATTTTGATTTATTTATTTATTTAATGAAAAACTAATTGTGACAATTATTGGTTAATAGTCACATAATGTGAACAGAGAAACATACGTGATCAGAAATTTTTTTCATAAGCATAGAAATATATTGTCCTTCATTTCGCTCTGGACAATTAAAGAAATGTGTGAAATTAGATATTGCTAAGAAATTAGTGAAATTAGAGAAATAAGATAAATGGTAGAAAGTTAAGTATCATGATCATTAAGATTATCATTCATCAATTATATTTAGCATAGTACCATGCATTATAACAAGATTATTACTAACAGTATTTTTAATACAAAATTTTAGTAATTATAAAACATTGAATTTTTTAATTAAATTTTATTTTAATATATTAAGTAAACTTGTTAATCATTAAAAAATATTTTTTTTTTAAAAAAATTTATATTAATTACTTTTTATATTCATTGAGATTGTCTTAGTTTAATTAGTAAATATCTATAAATTATTTCAATTTCAAATCTAAAATTTTCAAATCAAGTTTTTTTTATAATCTTCTTATTGACTTTTATAAAAATTTTTATATTTGTTGCAAATATTCTATATTTTATTTATCAATGAACATTTTTTTCAAAAAATGGGTTTTATTAAAAAAATGACTAAACATAAAGAACTCTCTGAATTTCAATGTGATGAAAATATAGGTGCTTAAAAGTATGGTTTAGTGAAAGAAAAATAAGTAAAATATAAATTATGCTAAAAGTACAGTTCATAATATTATTTTTGTATATAAAAATGATGGATTTGAAACACTACCTCCTTGAAGTGGTAGACCACCTATTTTAACTGATAGAGATGATCAACATTTAATACAAATTCTTAATAAAGATCATAGAACTAATATTGCTAAATTATGTAAAAAATTTTATTACTTTTACTTTAATAAATATAAGCCAAATTTCTTTTAAAAAATATTTTCATAAAAATGGAGTTTATAAAAGAATTGGAGAGAAAAAAACCTTTATAAATGTAGTAATAAAATGAAAAGATTAACTTGAGCCAAAAAAAGAAAAGTTTAGAATAATGAATGTGAATATGTTATTTGAAGTAATTAATCTTAGTTTGAAGTATTTAAGAAGATGAAAAGGGATATATTTGAAGGAATGCTTAAGAAAAATATGATCCAAAATGTCTTATTCCTACATTTAAATCAAATTAACTGAATGTAATAGTTTGGAATTTTTTACAAAAAATAACTAGTTCTATTAGTCAAATTAGATTGCAGAATTACAGTGATTATATATAAAAATATATTAAAAAACTATTTAATATCATTTATAAATGGTTTAGAAAATAAAAATTAATATATTTTTCAAGAATATAATACTCCTATTCATACTGCAAAAGTAGTAAAAAAATGTCAAGTGAAAAATAATATTATAAGTTTACCATAGCCTGCACAGAGCTTAAATATAAATCCTATAAAAAATTTATGAGATGAATTAAATTGAAAGGTTAGAAAACATAAACTATTACCAAAAAATCAAGATGATTTATGACAGATTTTGCATGAAGAATAGTTAAATCTTAATAAAAATATATATAAAAATTTTATTGATAGTATATCATGCTGTATTTCTGATTAATTTAAAAAAAATTTGTAAAAATCGATACAATAGTTCATAAGTTATCGCAATTTAAAAATTTGATATAATTTATAAAAAATGATCAACATTGCATGTATCTGATGACTTTTGATACATACTGTATAATACAAATGTTTTTATGGATTGGTTTTGCTTTTTTTATGCTTTTTTATGTGATTATGTTAAATTTACTAATGCTTTGTCAGTAATAGTCTAGTTATAACACATTAGTACTGTGTTAATTACAATTAGCAAAATGATGATCCTAATAATCATGGATCTTAACTTTCTCTAATTTCTATGATTTCTCTAATTTCTCTAATTACTATAATATCTTAGCGATTTCTAATTTCTTATATTTCTCTAATATCTATTTACTATTGATGTATTTTATATAAATATCTTGAATTTCTGCTTTAATAAAAGGGTAAAGTACTTTCAATTCTCTAATAAATCAATAACATTTATCTCTAAAGCTTATCTTTGCTTATTAAACAATCCATTCTTCTTTGAATCTATATCAATAAAGATGATCTGACCCTTCAATTAAATTATTTGATTTTATATCTTCTATAGTTTATATGTATTTAAACTTTCTACTAGCAAATAATCTTGTTAATTTAAATACAAACAGTTTAAGCTTAACAGCATTTAACTTAACTGAATAATACTTGTGGTCATGAAATAATTGATAAGCATAATATAACATTTACTTGGATTGTATTTGCTCTCTATTATATTAATTATTTATTATTATTTTAATTTACCAACGCATATAATTTAACTAGACAACATGCTTGATCGTGAAATGTAAAATGGAGTTTGTATAATTGTAAAAGAAAGCACATTATATTATTAAATATTTTATGATTGGGTTTGCTATTTTATATATTAGTTTTTTTATATTAACTTACTAATGCGCTTAACTTTATTTAGACAACACACTTAATTTGCAATAAATAGAGATTAAATGATTTTGGATAATTGTAAATAGCTCACTTCATAACAGATTAATAATTACTTTATTTATAAATTTTAATGAGTTCTTAAATAATTCTCTAATATGAGCATTTCTTTTATTTTTAGGACTCTGATCAATTTTGCTGCACCTTATCAGGTGGCAATGAGTCTTTTAAAGACTTGACTAAGACAGCAAAGAAGTTTCTTTTTTGCATACGGATATATTTTAGTAACCAAATGCAAAAATCTAATTTATCATAGTCAAATCCTAAACAAAGTTGCCTTTGGCATGATTTATCTTTCAATTATTTTTAGTATATATATTAATAATATGAAATTGACATGTTCACCACCAAATTTTGGAGTATACAATTTTTGTGAAATGTGATGAACTGCAAAATCGTACCGTACTGGTCAAATGATTTGTAATTGAGCTTGTATTAAATTAGGCAAGAAATATCACCAACAAAAGTTAGCATCTATTGTTTCTCAAACGCCTAATTACCGCCTGTGACATTGACAATCGAAGTTCTATTATTTCTATCAGACAACTAATAAATATGTTAATTTAAGCCCTTTAGACATCTGCTTTAAGCATGGCGATGCCTTGGAAGAAAAATTTATCATAATAGAATTAGGAGTATTCTGTTCTCTTAAAGCCTATTACAGATTGCTGCTGAGGCAATAATATTTGAATTATTTGCATTTTTATCATAAACCTTGTTCTGTTCTTTTCCTGTTTTAGTTAAATATGACAAGTTTTACTGCAGTTCACGTGAAAATTGTAAACTATAAATTATTCTATTTGTACTTAAAGAGAAGCAGCCTTAGTTATTGTAATATGTATTATATTTATTACGTTCTAGTATTTTTTATATAAAATATTATATCGTTATATTCTCTCTAGTCGAATTTAACTTAATATAACAATTCTGGTATATGAGTAGTATGCTATTAAAATTGAGGTACGAGACATAATAAATCATATGATCTGTACCTGAATTTTAATAGCACTCCACCAATATGTTTAGTGTATTTTGAATATGAAATTAATGGGATAAGTAATAGTTATTTCACGGGAATCCATAGATATCAATGAATTTCACGTCGCAGCTATGAAAATCATAATATTCATGGAAATTCACGTGAAATAACTGTTTTATATCACAGTTCTGTCGTCATAAATAACTAACTTTTTTTATCTATGAATAAACTTTTTGATCATCCTTTTTTAGCACTATCTTTCCTTTTTTTTACAATTTTTTTACTACAATAAACTTTTCAATCATCCATCTTTTTTAGCGTTATCCTTTTTTTATTTAACTTTCTCACTTCACCTTTTAAATTTTTATTTCTCTTTTCTTTCATTTTAATTATAGGTAAAAAAAATAGAATTTCTTCTGCAACAAATATGCCCTTTCCAAGATTTTAAACAGCAGCTAGTTTAATTTCTAATAATCCTACTACCAATATTCAAGATATTGTTCAAGAAAAAGCTTCCTATTATCGTGAAAAAGCAAAAGTAAAAAATACTGAAAAATCTACTAAAAGCTGTACTATAAAATTTGAAGAATTTCGTAATAATGCAGGTTATTTTGTTCCTTTGACTGAACTTAATAACATATTGCAACTTTAAAAACAAACTGTAAAATTTATCTCTACAATGAAAAAAAAGATGGTAATGAATATAAAGCAACATTGGTTAAGCAAGCTGTTGATGCACTTAATAGACACCTTCTTCATAATTCACCTATTTCACATATAAATTTGCGTGATAAATATATGTTTTCTGATTTACATGATATTTTACATGGCAAATTATGCGATCTGCAAGAGCATGGATTTGGTGAAAAATCTGGTTCAATAGCTATCAATCCTCAACAAATCCAACAAATTTTACAATATCCTAGAGTTAATTCAAATAATCCTAAAAGCCTCTTATATCGTATTTTTTTTCATTTATATATAATATTAGCTATGCGTGAAGGTGAACATTATAATCTAAAAATTAATCAATTTAAATCTGATGGATGTAATGGCTTACAATTTTTTCGTTATATATCCAAGAATAATCAACGCGGAATTTAAGGAGAAGAGGCTCAAATTATTTCAATACCTAGTGATGATAATGGTTCATGTTCAGATATTCAATTTTATTTATCTAAACGTCCATCTTCAGCTGATGAAAATTTTTATTTACAATCTAATCCATCATGGTCAGAAACTGGCATTTGGTATAGAAAAGCTTATATTGGAAAAAATAGTTTAAGTAAATTTATGCAAAAAATTAGCCATGAAACTCAAATTGATATTCCTATTGGATTACTTTCTAATCATTTTGGACAAAAAACTGCTACACAAATTTTACAAGATCAAGAAATTTCTGAATATGCTATTATGCAACATACTGGTCATAAAAGTGTTCAGGGAGTTTGGGTTTATAAAAAAATCAATGAAAACTAATAACTTAATACTTTAAATATATTGATTAATATTACAGATGCCAAATTATCTTCTGAAAAAAATAATTCATTTATTCAAAATAATATCAATATTAATAAAGATCATTTAATGTCACAAATACCTCTTCAAGAAATTTCTTTAAATTTAAATTCTTTAGATGAATCACCTATATTTAATAATTGTACTTTTTCGAATGTTTCTTTTTATATCCAAAAATAGGTTATTAAAATTATTTTGTATATACTATATTTTTAATAATTAAATATAAAAATAATTTTAATATTATTAAATTAACTTTTATGATATGATTTATATAATTGGTCAATTATACTGTGAAAATATCAGTAAAAAAAGTCATAGAAATTGATTAGGAACTGTGATATAATTTTTATATGTATCCTGATTTTTTAAATTAATTTCCAAATGTTGTTAAATTAGTTTGAATATCTTTAATTATTCCTTTATCTATTCTCAACACAAACTTACCAAAACAACGTTTGAGAAAGAAGATGAATTTTGAATCATTGAATCAACATTTAATGATTTTGTGGAATATGGCATATAATTATTAGGTAATAAAAAAAGTACATCGAAATAGTTAAAATTTTAGACAAAACTTTATTGATATTTATATTTGAGGAATACATTATCATAGTAAAGATTTCTGAGGATGTTTTATTCCTAATTGGAAAAATCTTAAGATGATAAAATTGTCATTCCCAAATTTGCTGATTCGTTAATTCGTTAAAAGTAATTAAAATTTGATCGACATGGATCATCAAAACACTTGCAACAAATACTCTCTTATAGTCTGATCTACTGCTCTGTGTTAAGAAAAAAATATCATTCTAATTAAAGATGAGAACTGTAATTAGTATGTTGCAACTTTTAATGTTGCAACTTACGTTGCAATTAGTTTTAACCTATATATGTTGCAACTTATAATGTTGCAACTAATTTTAGCTTATGTTGCAACATTTTGTAAATTTGAAATTAATTGCTGTACCATCTTTACTTCTAATATTACATTCCTTAGTCTTCAGAGTAAGTAGTTAGATTATCTAGATTATCTAATTGTTCATGAAGAATGATACTTAACCTTTAGTTTTAATCATAATAACTAATTGAGTAATGCTTACCCTCCCATTCTAATGAATCGAAGTCTTTTAAATAAAAAAATTTTTCTTATTTTTTTCTCTTTATTTATACTGCAGTAAACATGATTAGATATTTATTTAGGCAAGCTCGATGCAATTAATTAATGAAACAATCAATTAATCGATGAGACAATCGTAAAGTTAACAATAATTATTTTTTTTTGCAATTGTCTCTTATTGATTTGATTCTTTGACTCAATCAATAATTAAATATCGCGATGTATATTATAAAAAAAAAAAATAAAAAATTTAATTAGATTATTTACTATGATAGAAAAAAATAAAATTTAAATTAAAAATAAAACTTATATTTTAACCTACCTGAAAATGTTCTTTTTTTAAAAAAAAATTTGCTTTTTTTTTCATTTTAAAAAAAAAAGTAAAATTACATTTTTCTCAAAAAAAATAAAAATTTTTCACTTACCTTTTACTTTCAAAATGCCTTCAAAACTTGAAATATTTTGTTATATATACAACTCTAAAAAGAGGGTTGCCCAAAATTTTATTATTAAAGAGATTACGGTATCATAAAAATGTCTGAAACGGACTTTACTAAGGCAACCTACTTATAGATAAAGGCTTTTACCCCTATAAACGAAACAATAAATCATAAAATAGATGACTTTGAAGTGGACGATACTGTTTACCTAAAGTGAAAATTTATCAGATATCCTAATTGGTACACAGTAATAAAACTTTTATTTTTGTGATCTTTTGTATAATCCGAATATATAAAAAAATTTAATATTTAAACATACTTACATTTTAATAGGTGAACGCGACTTGCATGAAAGTCGTTTGTTTCGACTTCGACAATATGCTGATAACTGGAATAAATGTTGTTGTAATGGAAAAATGATGCAAGTGATGAGGAATGTTAATGGTAAGTCTACTTTGGATTTCTATGTAGAAGAGCAGCTTGGAGAAAGAGAACTACATAACTACTGGATTGAAGTTCATTATGACTCAAATAACACTTACCTCACAAACAAGAGGAATGCGATCAACTAAAGCATAAGATCGACAACTGATCTTTTATTTGGTACTATAAGTTATGTTCAACAGACTCTTGACATTTTCTCAGGTAAAGAATTGTCTCTGGAAAAGCATATTATCGACCTTGACAATATTTCATTGATCCTGACGATCTCGAACTAAAATCGCACTAACAACAGATTGTTTAACTTGCTGTAGTCAAATACTAGTCCTAATCAGAGTAATGAAAGAGCTACTCAATCTCCAACTTCTACCACTAGAAGACCTAGAAGAGGTCGACAAACTTTATCACGAATGAACATGATGACTACTACCACTGCCACGACAATAACCATAGAAGATCACAATATTGAATTTAGACTAACCTTAGAAACAATCATTAATGCGAACCCGATTCCCATCAATATTAATTTTATAGTAACACCACTATCAGACGAACAAAAAATATCCCACCAATGATTCTATACAAAAGAAACGAATTCATTTATTCACAAATAGACTGTGAATTTATCCTGCCTAAAATCTTCGTTTATTACATTTTATGGCGCTGACCTCTGATAATAAAAATATCATAATATCATTAGAGGTAAGAAAGTTTAATTAATATGCTTTGGTCCGTAAAATTTTTGTGACTCGGCGTAAAGTTATTTTTTCATGAAATGTAAATGATTTTCATTTTTAGAATTATGATAGACCATAAGACTTTAACATCATCAAAAAACTAGATTATTACAGAGAATGAAAAAATTTTCTTAATATTAAAAATAATAATAAAAAATTTTTTTAAAATTGAACTATATGTTGTAGTTTATTTTTTTTTTTAAAAAAAAAACAAAAAAAAATATATATAAAGTAATATTTTTATTAAAAAAAATCCGACTCACTTTTTTTTGCATACATTTTTACCGAATAACTAACTGAAACTGAATATGATACACAGTATTTTTGTTGTTTGGTTTAGCTTTTTTTTATTATTATTTAAAAAAAAAAGTATAGGTATATTTTTTTTTTTGTAGATTTTTTATTTTAAAAGAGAACTTAACAGTCGTAAAGTTTTTTTTCAGATTTATTTATTTCTTTTTTCATAACTTATAATTTCAAAAAAATTATGAAAAAGTAAAAAATATTTAAAATTAAGATATTTACGAGAAACCATAAACAGCTTTTTTTTATTTAATTTTTTTATATAAAATAAAAAAATTCATTTATTACACTTTGCAAAACAATTTATAGCGATAAATTTTATTTCACCATTATGTATATCATTCAAAATCCTTCAATTTTAAATAATAAAAAAATTTATAAAAATTCTTTTTTTGTATTAATCTTAAATAAAATGTACTTATAATTAAATATTAATCATCATTTAAACCCAATTTTGCAATCTTATAATTGTTTATAAAGTTGTTAACGAAGTGAATACGATTGATTGATCCCTTTCTATTATGTTCTTAGTATTTTACTGTAAGTAAAAAAAATACTTTATTAAAAAATTGCCTTTTTTTTATTTCAAATCCCTTCATTATGTCTACTCAAATCAACTCAATTTACACCTTCGATAACGAATATGAAACAACACTCGATTGGATCACAATAAACATCACATCTATTACACCGAGTAATTCTAACATTCTTCCACCTGGATCCACTTCAGCCCATATTATACCAACTACCCCTCAGCATTCAAATGCAATCATCACATATTGGAGACCATCGACTATGCTGCAAAGACTCTATGACAGATTTTAAAATACCATCTTGGAATAATATCTTCAGATCGCTTGCGTTTATTGTGGAAGGCTTCTATATCCAGAAAAAGCTTCATAGATCTTTTACAACTCATCTATCACTTACCCATTACAACAACCCATTCCAAACATTATCTTATCATTCAACTCAAATACCAATTGCATTTCTGAATTAAGGATACCTACTTGCGAATTATGCAAGAAGTCTATTACAAGGTTCACATTCCCTTATCTATCCCTATATATACCACAAGAAATCCTTCCAGTTTCCTTGTATAAGAGGAAACATCTCTCATCAGTTTATTTAAACTGTTTGTTAAGAAGGACTCTAAATAGTAACCACTTTTCAGAATATAGATGCTTGACTGGATCAATAAATTACTCTCGTAACATTAGAGTGCATGTATTATATTCTGGAATCTTAGGCGCTATATATGAAGTCAAAATGAAAACTCAAAAGTCAAAATGAAAAGTCGAAATGGTCGAAATTACGTCATATCACATGATTTTTTACATATAAAAAAAAAAAAACAAAAGATGTATGATCTCGGTTAATATCACTCCGATTCATATGAAACAACTACCATTTGATTCCTCGCGACTAGACGGTCCAATAAGCTAACATTCATTGATTTTGGATCAGCCCATCTTGAGATATTCGCGATCGTATTTCGAAATCCGGACTCCTTTATTTAAAGTAAAATTTATTGATTTATAATTTCAGCTGATAATACAATTGAGATTATCTTGTGATTGGATGATCTGAAATCAATGAATGTTACTCATTGGATCTGTCAAGTCGCAAGGAATCAAATGGTAGTTGTTTCATACAAATCAGAGCGATATTGACCGAAATCATACATCTTTTGTTTATTATTTTTTCTCAATATGAAAAACTATGTGATATAACGTCATTTCGACTATTTCGTGACTTTAGCCTTCAATGGTCGAAATAATTTCGACCATTTCGACCATTTCGGATATCTGAAATGATCCATTTCGACTTCATGTATATTAGGTGCATTTATAGATCAACCAGACAATATCAATCAATCAACTGCCTCAAGATATTTAGATGATGATCTGATTCATGATCAAATTCTAAAACACGCTGCAGCTTGATTAGTGAATAATAATCTATACCTTCAATCTTATGCTAGTATATTAACATTATGCGATAAACAAAATATAGCAAGAAATCAACTATTTCCAAGGCAACACATCTTCCTACTGATCTTGATATCCCACCTGTAAATACTTGAGATATCATAGTTCCCAATTTGAACTTTCCAGATGAAATTCATAATGAAAACTTCTATTACTCTAGATTAATGGCAGGATTCATCCGTGAAAGTGATACATTATATATCAGATAATGATTAATGAATTACAATTCACAATGGAGGCTTTATCATCACTAGCCTTCTTGGTCATACCTACAATTAGAGAAACTGAGACATCATCAAAATACTCAATGACTCTTAAGATAAAATAATATCAATCCTAACATAAACAATCTTCCTACTGCAAGACAATTACTCCAATCTAGTGAATATAATAGATATCTGAGATTAGATAAAACTAAAACGATTCCCCTGCTTGCTTTTATACGTACAGGAGATACTTACTTTCATCACAAATAACTTCACATTAACGCAATGCTAAAAAAATCTGATATACTATCATTATTCATAACCTTGACTATGGCTGAAGGATGTTGGACTCATCTTCATAATATACTCATTAATACAGATAACAATGATCTATTATCAACAAATAGACCTTATCATTATGCAAATTATTTTGTTCACAAATTTTAATCTCTAAAAAAGGAATTGTATAAAAAACCTGAATTTACAGGTTTGGCAAGATCACAGACTTATTTGATCAAGTTGAATTTCAAAATAGGGTGCAGCACATATTCATAGCTGTTATTGGACTGATAATTCTATTTCAGATATGATTGCAAATGATATCATCCGCTCAACGATACCTGATCCTTTATATGAGTCTGAATTATATGCTTCTGTAATAACTAATCAAATATATACTTACAATCATAGATGTCAAGGTCCTGCCTCACAAGGTCAGACGTGTAAAAAAGGTTTTTCACGTCCTTACAGTCAAATAATTCATTATTAAGAAGAAGCCTCCCATTATATTTATAAATGTTTGACTGATGCAGATTCATGAGTAGTCCCTTATCATCTTGCTATTCTCTTATTATGGGATATTTACATGAATATTCAATATATAACTGATAGAGGGTTCGCTCGATATATGATAAAATACATCGTTAAAAGAGAATCCTCTCATATATTTAACATACAAGATGGAGACACATTAAGAAATCATGTGATCACACGAAAGTTCAGCTTTATAGAATTGATGTTTTTGCTTTTAGGTCATCAAATCTGTAATTCATCAAGTACTGTAAAATTTCTCACTACTGAATCTTCTAATACAAGATCTCGTCTAGTGCTTTCTAGGGTTCCGCAATTTGATTTGATATTTGAATATTTGATTTGATTCAATCAAATTCAAATCAAAGAATGATTTATTTGATCAAATCTAAATTAATGTTTGATTTGATTCGATCAAATTCAAATCAAGTATTCAAATATTTGATTTGATTTAAATCAATAATAAAGCCATTTCCAAAGCTTCAGGAGTGGTTCTTACTAAAAAAACCATAGTAAAAGCGACTTTGCAGCTTTGGAAATGCCTTTTTTTCTAAGAAAAACAGAAAAAAATGCCTTTGCAGCTTCAGAAATGCTTTTTTACTAAGAAAACCATAGTAAAAAGCGCTTTCGTAACTTCAAAAATGACTTTTTACTAAAAAAATATAGTAAAAAATACTTTCACAGCTTTAGAAATGTTATTTTACTAAGAAACATAGTAAAAAATAACTCCGAAGCTTTGGAGATGCTATTTTACTAAGAAAACATAGTAAAAAATGCTTCCGCAGCTTCAAAGACGTTTTTTATTAAGAAACCTAATAAAAAAACACATCTGTAACTTCGGAAACATTTTTTTACTAATAAAATTATTACGAAACCGAGATGGCAGTTATTACTAAGTTTTCTTAGTAAAAATTCACCTGTTACTAAACTTATTTTGTAAAGGCTATCTTTGAAATTTTTTAGTGTAATTACTAATAATTTTCTTAATTAAAACTTTAGAATAACTTTATTTTAATATATCATTGTAAAAATTAAAAAAAAATTATATTTGATTTGATTTGATTTGATTTGACAAATATTTGATTCAATTTAATTCAATTTGATTCAAATTAATTCGTTCAAATATTTAAGTTCAATTCAATTCAATTCAATTCAATTTAAAAAAAATCAAATCAAATTCAAATTGCTTAAATATTTGATTCAATTCGATTTTGAGGAATCCTAGTGCTTCCTATCTATTTAATACATGAAGAAGATAAAAATCCTTATTATGATGATACCATAACCAAATATATGGCACGACCTATCTCTCCTGAATTTGATTCACTTACCTATCCTCAATATTTTGTAAGATATTTGATCTCTTTTTCAAGACCTTTAACTAATCGATCAATCTTTTATGATCAATTGAATAATTATGTTGTAAAACGATTTAAAGAAATAATAGTGAAATATCGTTTTCTTAAACTTCAAGATGCTGAATTATACTTCTATCAGAATCTTCTTCTTACCATACCTGCAAGAGATAAATCTGATTATAGAATAGGACCTAATGGAACATACCGACAAAAATTTTTATCATTATTTCCTGATTTTTTGACGATCTTACAGATCCAAACCACAAATAACCATCACTCACATATCACTTATCTTAATAATCAATTTGTCAAAATGCTAGACAGATTGCTACAATCATTACACCAAGAACTCCTAACAATAATTCAGGATATTAGAAAATTACAATTGGAAAATATCAAGATGCTTCCTCACTTATTACCTGAAACTGCTATATTAAATATACTAGAAAATCAGTATTATGTTTTATCAACAATCTCTTCATATCATAGCCCAAATGATGGTATCAAATGACCATATTATTTTATTACAGGTACTGCAGGAACGGGTAAATCATATATCATAAACCTGCTAATAAATACTCTTAAACAGAAAAAATCTAAATATTTCTCCTGGCTCCTATTGGTATTGCCACCCAAAATGTAGAAGAAAGAACTATCAATTCTGCATTGCAGATTATTTCAAATTATGATAACTTTCATACACGTGCATATATTGATAAAGAATTAAATGAATCATTAAAAGTAATTGATATTATCATTATCGAAGAAATTTTAATGGTTTCAGCACAGCTCTTTGATTTTATATCTAATCTTTTTGCTAATCTCAATAATAATGCTATCCCATTTGATGGAATAAATGTGATTGTAGTAGGTGACCTTGTTCAATATCCGCCTATTACAGGTCAACCTGTATTTCATTCAATGACTTGAACTTTATTCTATCCCTTATTCTTAATAACTCCACAATATCAACAATCTGATGGCAGATTCTATCAAATATTACAAGAAGTTCAGATTAGAGCTTTGAATCAGATCAGATCAACCTGTGATCCGACCTAACCCAACCTGAAAAATCCAGGTCGGGTAGAAAATTTTTCAGCAACATCAGGTCGGGTCAAGCTTATAACCCAATCTGATAAAATTCAGGTCAACCAATCAAATTAAACGAAATAAAATATTTAAAAAAAAAATTTTTTTTTTGTTTATTTTTTTTTTAAAACATC